AAGTTATCTTCCACAAAGAGAAGGATTCCGTGGTCAGCTAAGTTTGGGAAATCATGCAGTGTTTTTTGTTTTCTGCTTTTAAGTAGGCTCCATGGCCAACGTAGGGCTTGAACTCATGAAGCTGAGATCGAGTCACATGCTCTACCAAATGAGCCAGTGAGGCACCCTGAGAAGTCATGAGTTTAACAGAAACGTACAGACTTCCTTCAGGAAAGAGTTCTCAGTTCCTTTAATTCACTAACTCGTATCAACCAAATGAGAAATCGAATATGTAGTATTCTAAAAATAGGTTAGAGAAATTTTTTTTCAGGGCACCTGAATGGCTTGGCCAGTTGGATGGCCGACTCTTGATCTCAGCTCAGGTCTCGATCTCAGGATCATGAGTTCAGGCCCTGCGTTAGGCTCTGTGCTGGGCATGAAACCTACATAAAAAAAAATTTTTTTTTTGATTGTGAGATTAACTCATCGAACCCTTACACTCTTCCACCTACTTTGCAAAATATGCTCTGGGAAATGCTGGTTTAAAGGATCTCGAACTTCTCTCATTATTTGATAAGGCACAGCTGGTATTTAGTGCAGACTCAGACTCCAGCCAGGTTTCACAGACTCAGACTGCTTTTAGTGAACGGTTTCAGCCAGGGCACTTTCCTCCAGGGCTATAGCATTCCCACCCCTCACCAACAAGTTGAAATGCATCCCTCTCATGGGCAACAGGCAACACTATAAAGCTATAAATGAATTGAATAACTAGTGCAACGTGGCTGCAAGATTTTATCTGATGGTTTTGAATTCTTTTCCGTTGACTCAAATAGAAAGATGACATAAGTGTCACTCATAAAAGAGCCACTTTTTTTCTTGTTTCTCTCAGAGGACACCGATAAGCAGAGCAGCTGTGTGGGGCTTAGGCAAAGAAGCCAGAGTGGAAAGTCACAGCTGGCTACCATGAAGCACCTGGGGGCAGCATCAGCAATGATGTCCGGAACTGAAATGGCTCCTCTGTCGCCCACCTGTGATGCAGGATTTGTGGAGAGGCTCCTCACGTGAGGCCTGGGAGGTCTGGGCATTTTGAGCTCTGCCAGCACCAGCGAGGGTGGCTGCTTTTGTAGATACAGAAAACGATCGGGGCCCAAAGGATTGGGAGAGCTTTGGGCTGTCTCTGCAGTGGGCTCGTCAACGGTCAAAGTGTTTAAGAGGATCCAGGTGATGCGTTTTCTGATTATTCTAATAGTCAGAATCCAGAAGATTCTTCCGTCCAGCCCCAGTACTTACATTTTCTCACGGAGAAACGGATATGGTGGTGGGTAAGACAACCGGAGACAGCAAAGTAGAGAAGTATGCTGAGAAACGTATTCAAGACTGACTGAATGAATGTGTTCTATAAAAAGTGTGAAAATATGCCATCATACATCGTGAAAGACTATACTTTCTTTTGACCTGGCAGACATGTCCAGTGCTGTTAATGCAGCAAAGGGCTCTGTGTGCTTTAAAAGCTCTCTATTGGGGCGCCTGGGTGGCGCAGTCGGTTAAGCGTCCGACTTCAGC